CCCTTATTGTTATGTTAGCCAAAGATTCATGGCGCTGTGATTTTGTAGCGACTAACCTTGATGCAGTGATTTTTTTCCACGTGGCTGAATATAAAGTATTACATATATTGTGATGTGAAGAACAAAGCAATGTAGATGGATATTGGCATCATTGATGATATCAAGGTCGTACAGAGAATATATATATAATAACAGTATATAATGATAGGTTTCTAAGTTGTTAATAAGTGGTTGCTAGAGTAATTGCAGTAGTAAGGCTCTTGCTAACGTGTTCTGGGTGGTTGTTATGTGGTTGGATGGTAATCAGGGTTAGATGGTTGCTATGGAGACTCTGCGTGGTTGTACTATTACTGTGTAGCAGAGACAGTATTATTATACAGTATTATCAAACTTTTATTGACCCACATAAAAGGAGCGCTGTGTTTACATTTGACCTCTGACCTCATAGATGGCGAAGCCAATGGTGTGTACGTCTTGGCCGTGGCGGCGGTAGCGACGGCGGTCTTTTCTGCATTAGAGCCACCAGGAAGCTGCAGGCGGCCTCCCCGTCGTCATCCGGGGGTCAGTCGCCCCTGTCCCCCCTCCAGCAGAAAAACAGATTCTAATAGCTTGAGGATTTTGATCCAGAACGTGTCTGCCAGGGCAAGGCAAGCAAAAGCAATCATGGGATTAATGTAAGTCATTGTAGAGAGAAACCCCAGATTGGATTCATGCTTTTTATTGTTATATTGATTATCTTTATTCATATATTCATTATCTTTATTGTTATATTCATTAATCTATTCATATATTGATTATCACTCACTGGGATGGTTCCTGCAGCCTCCAGCGGTGCTTCCTCTCCTCCAGCCGCCCTCAAACATCGTCGTGTTCCAGAAACTGGTGGAGTCTTCACTGAGGGCGTCCGGGGTCAGATTACAGATCTCCAGTCTGGAGAACTGACGTAAAAACTCAGAGAAGGACATCCTGAGAGACAGACAGACACACAGACAGACAGTCGGTTGTTTATTTATTGTTTTTTTCCTTTAAATAAACCCTGATGAACTTTCCAGCAGAAACCTACCAGAACTCTCCATCCTCCATCTTACAGAGCATCTCGTCTTTCTCTGCAGCGTCGATGGAGCTCCACTCTGAGCAACTGACACAACCAGAACACACACATTCACATTATTCACGTTCTTCACGCTCTTAACATTATTTACATTTTGCACGTTGTTCACATTGTTCACGTTGTTCACATTATTTACATTATTCACATTGTTCACATTGTTCACGTTCATGTTGTTCACTATGTTCACGTTCACATTATTTACATTATTCACGTTGTTCACTATGTTCACGTTGTTTAAGTTGTTCACATTGTTCACTATGTTCACGTTATTCACAATGTTCACGTTATTCACGTTGTTCACGTTGTTCAAATTGTTCACATTTTCCACATTATTCAGTGTCCATTCTTCCATATTCTATAAAGTAAAAAGTATAAAGTGAAGCACTGACTTGTCGCTCCAGGTTCCAGTCCACTCCACCTGACCCCAGGGGTTCCTGATACGGATCAGACGCTCTGTCCGGCCACGGTGCTCCACCTGCAGAGAGGACCAAAGACATTAGAAACCCAACTCAAAGGCTGGACCGATGCAGTCTGATGTGAGCTCACCTGTCTGAGTCCGGTGACAGAATAGGCATGGCCTTTGACCAGCTTCTTGAAGGTGACCGCCTCCATGTCGAAGGCGCTGGTGATCTGAGGACGGAGACAGTGAACACATCACAGACCTGTTACTGGTTCTGTTGGAGATATTGTTAGTGAGGATGGTCTGAGGGTGAGACTGACGTCTATGGAGCAGCCCAGCAGAGAGCCTCTCTCCAGAGCTTTGCTGATGATACGATAAAGATCTCTGGGTGCTTTCTTCAGCTCATACATCTCCGACACGCCGCCCGTAAAGTCCTCGAAACCTTCAGTGGTGCTGCCGCCGGATAACGCCTCATACGAGCCGTTCAACCTCAAAACACACAGTAAATAATCAGTAAACACACGCTGAATAATCAGTAAACACACGGTAAATAAACAGTAAACACATGGTAAATAATCAGTAAACACGCTGAATAATCAGTAAACACACGGTAAATAAACAGTAAACACATGGTAAATAAACAGTAAACACATGGTAAATAATCAGTAAACACACGGTAAATAATCAGTAAACACACGGTAAATAATGCATTATGTATCAAGCATGCATCAGTTCAATAAATTTAACTTTTCAATTCAATTCAATTTTATCTCAGGACACCTTTCAAATAGAGCAGGTCTAGACCGAACTCCTTTTAACAATTACAGATACCCAACAGTACCACCATGAGCAAGACCTTGCAACATTAATATTAATATTCTGAAGAGCTGACACAGAAAACCAGGAGGAGAGAGAGAACAACAACAAACTGCAACAACCCGGTTCAACACCAGTAACAGATACAGCAAAAAATAATTAATATTTCTAATTGCCAGCAGTTAAACAATGACCTATAGGAAAGGTAGGGGGCGCTACAGCATCCTTACTTTCTGGGCTGATGAGCACAGCCGAACCCGGACCGAATACAGCATGTGATGCTGACGGAGGACAGTTTGGCACCCCAGGAGTCTGCTAACGTTATTGTGGAGCTACACTCTGCTCTGGCAGACTGCTATATACTACTATACATATGTCTTTTTTATCTTTTAACCATCTTCAAAATGTGGCTGTCTTGTCAACATAGATTAGCCTAGCATAGCATATCTAAGTACAGGAAAGGAGTAAGGTGACCGAGGTTTGCTCAACTGTGATTGGAGCACAGAGCAAAAGGGGGCGTGGCTTAAGAAGGGTCAAAGAGGTGAATATCAGAGCTACTAACCCTGTGGATTTCTGTGATCACACTGATGTAATCTAGTTTAGAGTCTGAAGGTCAGCGGGTGGATGATCTTACTTGGCGTAGGCTTTCTCCAGCAGGGCGCTCCAGAACTCGCTGCCCTCAGCCGAGTGGACGAACAGCAGCTCTCCTTCTTTAACCGGCAGGCGGTCGTCGATCACCACGTCCACCCACTCCCCGAACTGCCAGAACTACAGATACACAGACAGTGAGCCAGTTGGACTGTAGTTATATGATTGTTCAGTGACACACGAGTTCCTTGAACACATCATGAACAGGTGAGTGGGCGTGGTCTCACCTGGAAGTGGAAGATCCCAGCGTATTGGTGGCTGAAGCTCTGACCCTGAGGAACCACACGATGCAGTAGCCGTTCATTCAGAGTCAGAGAGCCGATAGCAGCGAGCAGCCAGCAGTCTCCTGAAGAACAACCAGAGAACATACAGAGTTCTTACA